CTATTTTAAATAAGGAAATTGTGGCTCAGAGGAACATCGATCACCTGGGCAGAACTCAAGTCAAGGGTCTGATTCTGGATTTCATGTTGAAGCTCATCAGACTGGATTAGACAGTATAAAAACATTTTAGAAGGGCTGGAGAGATGGCTCAGTGGTTAAGAGCACTGACTGCTCTTTCAGAGGACCTGGGTTCAATTCCCAGCACCCACATGGCAGCTCACAACTGTCTGTAATTCCAGTGCCAGAGGATCTGACACCCATGGCAAAGCACCAGTGCATACAAAATAAAAATTAATAAATTAAAAAAATATTTTAGAAAAACAGAGATGTTTCCCTTGGCCCTTGTGCATCCAAAGCAAATTCAGAACGTGACTCTTACTTATTTTTTCATTCTTTCTTTTGCTCTTCATTTCTTTTTTCTTTTTTATTTTTTCCAACCCTACTTTCTTTCTTCTTTTTTTCTAGGCTGCCATGGAACTCCCTATGTTGCTCAGGTTGACCTCAAAGTTGCAGGAATCCTCCTGCCTCAGACTCCTAAGTGTTGGGATTATAACCATATACTACCATGCCCAATCTTACAACACTCTACAATCTATACACCGGGAACTATCGTGGCCACACCAGTGGGGCAAGTAAGACAAACAAGAAAGACCCAGTTCATTTCAGTTTTCTGCTCTCTATTCACCTTCACGGAGGGCACGAACTAGACAGGTTTGAAACCTGGCTGTTGCTGTCCTTTTGGAAGTCATGTGTATCCTGCGGTTTAGCTCTCAGATTCGGTTTGTCTAGAAATCTGAGTCAGGATTCTGAGCTCTACTGACAGATTTTAGTCTTCTAGTTGCTTAAAAATGTTTTGATCTAAATATGGCCTTAGTCTTGTATAGTAATGTGGGGAAGCAGACCCTCGCTGTGAGTGCTGCCTGGCAGCCTTTCGCCCCTCCCAGGCTATTGGGTTTCATTGTTTATTCTTGGTTAAAAACATTCCATATGTTGGGACTTAATGACACCTAAACCCTGCTCAGGCAGCTAAATTAAGAAGACTAGTTATTCGAGATCATGATGGCAAATCAACTAGTACACACTGGAACAGCTCCGTTCCCACTGGAGCATTAACACTGCAGAGAGAGCCATGGATTATTAATTAGGAACGCACAGGAGAGGATTTGCCTTTCGTTTGTTAATATCCAATACAAATCTAATCCCAAGAAGCTATAGTTACTGTGTATTTATTTCTCTCTGTTAGCATCTTTTGCTATATCATCATGTAAGAACTGCTCGAGGAAACTTAAAAAAAAATTACCACATGGATTGCTTAACATGGCTCCCTCCCACCTCCCTACAGAGGTGTCTGAGGAGAGAAAAGGCAGCAGAGTTACTCAGGCCCTGAGGGCGAGGAGTCTGCTCACGTGTGGGAATGCCAGTCAGCCTGGGTGCTGGCAGAGCAGGTTTTGGCAGGCCACCAGAGAGAGGGTATTTCGTAACTGAGGCCTTGCCCCAGAGGATTCTGAGCCAAGAGACTACAAGTAAGGAGCAGGGCTGCGAATCCAAGAAGGAAGTTTATTTCATGGACCGAAACCTCGAAGGAGGAAACAATTTCACTTGACTTCCATTCCCAGTTGTGGTTTCCTTTTAATTTTTTTTACCTGCCTGGGTACTTCGATTTTGCTCATCAGACTTGGTCAGCACATTTAATTATTCTATGTTTGGTGTGTCTGAGTGCATTGCCATACATATTCATGCCTAAGGGATGTGTTGGTTATTTAGTGGGGGAAGGTTACTAGGTAATAAGAAACTAAAATGACTAACATTTATTGAGCACTTACTTATACCAAGTGTTTTGCTAAGATCTCTATGGGACTTCCTAAGTAATCCTTGGAATCCTGGTATTTGGGTGCTATTATAGAGCCTAATTAGACCTGAGAAAACCTAATGTGGAAAGGTTTATAATTCTCCAGAGGTCACAGAGTAAGTAGGTCTCAAACTTAAAGGAGAATCTCTGTGGCCAATCAAGTCACTCTTTTATGTGATCCTGTGTTCCTCCAAATGCAGGCAGCTCTTGCCTCAGTATAATCATGGTGCATGTGTCAGTGTGTGGCGTTCCTATCAGCAGGATCTGGTTCTTGGCCTTTTAGATATGCCTGCTATTTTACTGTGTCTCTTTAATACACCCAAAGGGGCACCATATCAGAAGGCAATCTGACAATCTAACAGTTAAGTGAACGCACTAGGAACATTTGATCCAGCAGTCACATTCTTGTCATTTCCGGTGACAACTTGAAAACTTATGCTTCCACGAAAACTTTGTGCTCAAATGGTTTACAGCAGTTGTCATGGTTTATGTTTGACATGACGCCCACAGGCTCATGTTGCAAATGCTTGTTTCCCAGCTAGTGGTGCCATCTGGGTTGGGGGAATGGGACCCTTAAGAGACGGGTCTACCTGTGGAAGTAGGTCACTAAGGGATGGACTTTGAAAGTTTCACCCACCTGCAGCTCCCAAATCCCTGCTTCCTGGCCCACTGAGATGGGAACAGCCTCCAGCACAAGATCTCAAAGCTTGGACTGAACTGTGGAAGCTTCCCTTCTTCACCACAATGGACTGAATGCTCTGAAACCCTAAACCAGAATGAATCCTGCCTCCAAATAGTTTCTGTCACATATTTTGCCCCAGTGACAAGATAAGTAGCTATACCTTAATGCTTTTCTTAATTGCCAAAACATAGTTGCAGGTTATATGCATAAAATGTGTTTATGCAGGTGAGTGGACAAACTGTGTCAATCCAGACAAAGGGAAATTCATCCATAGAAAGAAATGAACCATCAAGGCATGAGTAGACACTGAGTAAATTAAAGGCATGATGCCAAGTGAAAGAAGCTGACCAGAAAAGGCTGCATAGTGTACAACTCCCACATAAAAAGACAGCAACTATAGGGACAGGAAAACATCAGCTATTTCCATGCCTTGGGGGAAAGACAGGTAAACAGGAGATGGAACTACTCTGTATGTTGCCGTAATGGCACATACATGTCATTGCAGCTTTGTGAAAGCCTATAGATCATACCACAACAACAGAAAATCAAAATGTAAGTATGAGTATGGAAATTTCTCAGTCGGGGTAATGGTGCATGCTTTTAATCCCAGCACTTGGGAGGTAGAGGCAGGAGAGTCTCTGTGAGTTTGAAACCAGCCTGATCTACAAAGCAAATTCCAGGACAGCCAGAGCTACACAGAGAAACCCTGTCTCAATTTTTTTCTCAACAACAATATATAATGCCACGGAAGATATTTGAAATATAATTTATAGCACTTTAGGACTTTGGATTCAGATAATTTATAAATTGTTGGTAGACAGTACACATCGCTTATGTGTGGAAATGAACTTAAATGGAAAAGGACTTACAATTACACTGAATTATGACAATGTATATTTTGCTATAACCAGTTTGCAATAATACTTAAATTTTGTGACACACACACCGTCATGATGTTGCCATTATAAAAAATGTGTTATACCAAAACAAAATATACATATTAAGAGAAACTGGCAGAGGATATATGTGACCTCTGTATACTTGCTATTCACACTTTCTATCTACCTAAGACTGCACGTGCACACACACACACACACACACACACACACACACACACACACACACACTCTGGGATGCAGCTTAAGGGCCCAAGGTCTCAAAAATGCTAAACATACGCATTCAGTTTCAATTAAGTTTTTGAAACAAAGCATTGGTAAACACGGGGTGGGGAGGGGTGAGGAGGGGTGAGGAGGAAGGACCAGCAGAATGTTGTCCTCTCCTTTCTACCTTTCCAATGTTTCTACTGCTGTTTCAAAACCAATTAATCTCGAAAAGTAAGGATCTCTATTACATATTCATAGTACACTAAAAATATTAAAGCCATGTGGCTGGGGGGTGTGGTTCAGTGGTAGGATACATGCTTAGCATGTGTAAGGTCTGGAGTTCAGTATCCAGAACCCAAACAAAACAAATCAAACCACTACAAAAGGAAGAACCCCAACGTAGGGGATGACCCTGAGGCCATACTCTCATGTGGGACCTATTTTTAATGGTGAACTCTTGGTGTCCTGTGTTCCTGTTACATTAGGAACACCTTGCTCAGGAATGGCCCACTTCGTTAGGAAGTGGTGGGTGTGCTCACATAGATGCATTCCCCCCCCATCTCCGTGCTATCTCCCCCTACCCTTTACGGTTCCCTTTGTTCCTCACTCTGAAGTGCTAGCCCTGGTCGTCTAGTTTGCATTTAGAGGTCACTGAGTTGAGACAGTGCTTGAGGAAAGGAGCAGAAATGAAGGACACATCATCTCAAGAAGCAGGGGAGAGGGGAAAGCACAAAGCGAGAAGGAAAAGAGGAGGGGCAGAGGATGAGAACAATTGTGGTGGACCAGGAAGGAAGGTGGGACAGCTTCAGGTGAAAACCTGCGTCTCGGTGAATGGCTCCTGTAAAACAAAGGTTGTCATCAGATTTTCCAGCAAAGGACAGAGCTGGAAGTTTGCCTGATCTTCTCCTTGTCAACCTTGGAAGGGGCACTACACAAAGAGACCAGCTCATATCTGCCACCATGTTCTGCATTCCTTCTACCAGGTCTGGTAGACACATTAATCATTCAGGGTGTCCATCTGTGTTCCTGTCATCTGGGCTGCTCCCTATGGTCAGAAAAGCAGCTGACAGGCAAATGCCAGGCACTTGGCTGTTTGGGTCGTGAGTGGTGCCTGGAAAGAGGAGTTCCTTCTCTTTGCGCACATTTTAACGTTCCCTGAATTCAATTTACTCTCACAGAATGTGACACTTACACTTGGAGAGGATAGAGCATAGTCAATTCCATTTGGCTTTCTTGTCCGAACTAATAGAGAAGAGATTTTGAATACTCCTGGGCAATATTAACAGGCACACACATACACACAAACTTGATTCAATTAGTAGTTATCTGAACAATTTGGTTAATGGATGTTTGGTTTTAAACACAGAACTGCAGAGTCAGCATGACCTGGACCCCAGCACCTCTCAGCTTCATAATACGCAGCCACCACACCTTCAACACAAGAGTGTTTGAAGGCACAAATCCCAACCATTGCAGAGTACAACTGTGAACTTTGATATATGAAGACGTTTGCTAAGGTATGGAACATTATCATCAATGTGAAATTTTGTTTAGGATATACGGAAACTTCCCAGACAGTTTCCCACAAAATTGAATTATTGGTTCAATGTGAAGTTCTCAAAGAAGCAGCAGTGCTGGGATCCTTCTAGATGATGTAAACTTTTTGCAGGGCCTGGAGGCTTCTGGCTTCAGCATTCTTTCGGTGTCTGAGACTGTAAATGATGCCACAGATTATCTTTAAAAAAACCTAGAAAGCTTTGGTCCTATTTCTAGAAGTGAATCATCGATATCAGAGAGTAAAATAATATATTCCAATTCTCCTTCAGATTGTAAGACAGATCGTTGGGCCAGCCTAGCATGTGTATGTGTTCATGGTGCATGTGTGTGCTATGTGCAAGTGTCATGTGAAGACTAAAGGAAGTTTTGGGTGTTCTGTTCAATTACTCCACTCCTATTCTTTTGACGTAGGGTCTCTCACTGAATCTGGAGCTAGGCCAGCAAGTTCCAGTGTCCTCACCATGCTGGACAATTTATACACTTCACCTAAGTTCTTTGTTTTCATAAATAAGTTGGGAATCAGTGCTTCCATTTCATAGAGGAAGATAATGACATTTCGGGAGTTCCCACCTTCCTTGTTTTTGTTGTAACTGTCACGAGCAGCAGCAATAAGTACACTTGCCTCTGAGAAATTGCTCTGCTTTTGGAAAACATGACTTCAAGAATCCTTGAATAAATGTATAAATTAAAAACCACCAACACTTTTATGGTAGAGAGTTAAAATGTGTACTCAAGGCTATAGAGAAGTTCTTATGAAGTATAAGAGTAAGTTTTATCATGCCTTTGGATAAAGGAGAAGAACTATATTACACTTGTGACTGGCAGAGTAATGGTCTTAAATTTTTTTTCATATTTTTTATTTAACTTTTTACACATGTCACTCTCAGTTTCCTCTCCATCCCCTCCTCCCCCACCCCCAATCCACCCAACCCCTCACCCCTACTCCATCCCCCTTCTGCTCCTCAGGGAGGGCAAGTTCATCCATGAGGGATTTTCAGAGTCTGTCACATCATCCCGGGAAGGGCCTAGGTCTTAAATTTTGAACATCTATTCTTTTGTTTTCAGATATAAGGTCTCACCGTGTAGCTCTGGCTGGACCAGGAGCTCACTATTTAGGCCAGGCTGACTTTGAACTTAGAGAGAGTCACCTGCCTATTCTTCCCAAGTGCTGGGATTAAAAGTGTGTGCTACAGTGCCCAGCTAGACATTTTTAATAACTATAGATCGCTACTAGCAAGAGGGTTCAGTGGATTAAGGGACTGCTGACCAAGCTTAACAAGCTGTTTGATCCCTGGAAACATACATGATGTAAAGAGAAAACCAACTGCCATAGGTTCTTCTCTGATCTACACATGCTTATTGTGACTGTGCACGTGTGTGCACACACTCACACAAATAAATAAATGTAATAAAATGCTATAAGCATTTAGAAAATAATGTTCACAATTATGTGCATATATTTTCAGTGTCAAAGCATGGCACTTCAGTTCCTGAGTCAATAAAAGGTGTTTGTAATGTTGTTAACAATACTTTTCAAGTTAAAACAGCCTTAATTCGGGCTGGAGAGATGGCTCAGAGGTTAAGCGCACTGACTGCTCTTCCAGAGGACCTGAGTTCAATTCCCAGCAACCACATGGTGGCTCACAACCATCTGTAATGAGATATGGCGCCCTCTTCTGGCATGCAGATATGAATGCAGGCAGAATACTGTATACATAATAAATAAATAAATCTTTAAAAAAACATCCTTAATTTATGTGATAGGAGAAGTTTGATAATAAGAGTATACCAGGGAGCTGCAGAGATTGCTTAGCAGCTAGCTCTTGCAGAGGGCCTGAGTTGGGTTTTCAGTACCCATATGGCAGCTCATAACCATCTGTGCTCTAGTTCCAGGGGATGTGATGGCCTCTTCTGGTCTCTGGGGGCTCCTACACACATGCAGTGCATATACTTTACACTGAGGCAACCAAACAAACAAACAGTTTTAAAAGGATACCGGATTAACTGGGTGTGGGTTGTACATACCTGTAATCTTAGTACTCAGCTGGCAGAGGGAGGAAGACCAGGAGTTCGAGGCCAGATTCATCTGCACAATGAGTCTGAAATGAGCCAGGGCTACATGAGACCCTATCGTAAACAAGAGAGCAAAACAAAACAAAAACAAAAATGAATGATAACAAGACATTGGATCCTGAGGTACTATAGTGTTGTTTTCCTTATGCACAACCACCATCCTACATAGTGGGTTAACTCCAGAAGCAAAATTCAGCACAGATAACTGGATTGTAAGAGTTATGAGTACAAATGATAGAGGGCGTGGATACTTCCACAAATCCGGAAGTTACCCTTAGGTAATATAGGATAACGTATGATGATATCTATCCACTAGTAACAAAGGGAATCTTCTTATTTGAATTCAGTATTCCCAGGTGTGGCCCTCAATGCCATCCATGGTTTCACACTCAATATTTAAGCCCATCCAGTTCACTTAAGGGATTAAAAATAAGGACATTTTTCTTTGATGAAGAAAGGACGTGTGGAAATGTGGCTTATTTAACAAAGTCTGCACAAATGTTTGGTTTCATTAATTTCATTTGTTGAGATTGATATGAACATCCTATGGAAGGTGAAATGACTTTCATCTGTGCATTTAGACACAATGAGCTTCAGGACAAGTGCCTTTGCACATGGCGCCACTTGGAAGCAAAGGGCTGTAGCCCCTGTATGCTTCATGGGCTGGTATCAATCTTTATGCCCCAGCACTCCACATCTCCTCCCTACCTACCGCCCATACTCACATATGCACTGTCATCATGGGAGAGATGGAAGTTTATTCTGCATAAACAATTTGTCCGTTGGCCGCTCTCTGAGTCTGCCAACCAGGTTGCCAATTCCAATGTCGACACCTGTCCATTTGGAACAGGAATGAAAACAGCCACTCATTTCCTAGAAACCATCAAACACCCTGTCTGTGAATAACAGCTCTCCCTTAACTGCAATATGGGCAAGACATGAATGGGTCACGCAGACAGATAATTGCTGATCAAATCCTCCAAGTCTCTCAACGTCCTTGAAATTGAAACTTTCATATCCCTTTCAGTACAGTGCAGTTTGGGGAGAGTCACCATTTTAGGACTGTGTTGTAAGGAGACTGAAACTTCATCTTTGTTATGGAATTGAGTTTCATTATCAAGATTTGCAAATGAGAGGATAAAGTCAATGGGAACTTTTGGGTAGCTTTCAAAAATCACACTCTCCTTGTGGAGATAGCAATACAGATTATGTCCAACCACATTACAGTTGGATTCTGGGAAATATGCATACTTTCACATAGGATCAAGGATATCTCTACCCTGTATATGTGCATGTGCTCACATATGTGTGTGCACGTGTGTGTGCTGGAGGTCTCTTTGGCACTTGCCTTGGTGCTTTGTTCTTTGCCTAAGGGAACACTGTCCTTGTCTTTGTAATAGGACATCCTCATGAATCTTGCGTGGCAAATATTTTAGCCACTGTTGCCAATGACTTGCAGGTGACATGTTACCACTGAAGTGAACTTTCAGAGCAGCCTGGGCCTTGCCTTTGGGAGCTCCTGCCTGGCAGAGACTGGGGACTAATGTGGGTTTAATGTTGTTATGAGCCAGGCAGCTGAGCCGGGTAACAATACGAGTCTGTTGGACATGTCTTCTGGGTTGTCACGTTCAATTTGCACATGACCTCCCGGCCAAAAAATGGGAAAGAAGTGGTAGAATGTGGGACTGAAAGCTCATATTATTGCTTTGACAGCTTCACTCATCTAGAAGTAATGCAAAATGCAATTTATATTTATACACTCTGACCTCCTGCGCAGAGAGGGAAAGTATCTAATGATGGGCCGAGGTAGTGGAGGAAGAAACAGATCTCAGTACAGCTGGAATTTGTCTACGTTTCTGCTCTTCAACCATTCAATTACAGTCAAAAGACAAATGAAGCAGGGACAGTGTGCTGGTGAGGTAGTGACACAATTATTTTATAGTGACTGGCTTCTGGCTTTGAGTCTTGGCAAAGGAGGCTACAACACGCCTTATTTCACTGGAGACAGATAATCTGCTTGCTCCCAGCGGACAAAGGCCCTCTGCTTGTAGGTGCGTCATTATGCCCATCAGAGAGGAGAGAAGACACTAGCCAGTCAGTGACACTCTGGGTATGCATTTGGAAGTTCTTGAGAGAGGCTGACACTTTAATCCTATTAACCAAGATAAATCAAGTCAGGCCTGGTGGTAACTGGGGCATTATTCACTTTTGAGTGGAAATAGGCATAAGGCAGAGAGCATCATTTTCTTTTGTGCATCAGGAAATTTACTGGCTTTTCTGTGTCCCTAGATAGCTTCATTTTGAATAGAATCCCCCAGCTAACTGGGAGAATGAGGGTATCATTGTCCAAATCTTCAGATACAACCTGAGTGTCTCAACCAGGGCTTTAAATGAAGAGTGGTTTCTGTAAAAGTTGGCCTCCTGGGGCTGGGGAGAGAATTCTGGCTTTCTCGAAGGATGGAAAGGGACAGAAGCGGTCACCTTCACTAAGCTGGTGGTGCTGGCAGAAGAACATGAAACCACCGCGTTTGGTCTGCATCAGGAGCCTCTCTAGAGACCACAGATCATACTTGAGAAAGAAACACAGCATTGGGGACTGTGGCTGACAAGGCAGCAGAGAGCTGTAATGTGTTCCCCATGTTGCTTTTGTTCTTTAGGGGACTAAAAAGCGCCTCCACATCCTGCTTAAATTCCCATAGATAGCACACTTTCCTCTACTGTATCTACCCATTGCCACTAAACTGATGACTTGGTAACTTCTGATGTAAAATGCTCAAATGTTATTTTTTTTTCTTTAAGCTGAGCACAATGGACTCTCTGTGGAGGGATATTATGCAACTCCTACATTGTACAATATCGCATGCCTCCCACATTATACAATATTGTATAACTCCCATCTGCAGAATTCAGCTGGCCAGTTTCTCAGGCTTCTTGGATTTTGACACTGTTGATTTCAAGTTCTTAGTAACTTCCTAGAATTAGAAGAAGGTAGTGTGTTTGTGTGTGTGTGTGTGTGTGTATGTGTGTGTGTGTGTGTGTGTGTATGATGTGCATAAAGTTAGAAAGGTACAGGGGAATCAGATGTGCATGTTGGGGACAGTGTTCATGGCCTTGTAGATGTCCAAGAGAGGTGTACTGATGTGCATCTATGTACACTGTATGTGAGAAGTACCACTTATGTTCACTGTAAGTAAGAAGGAATAAGGACTGGTCAGGAAGCAGGAGGATGGGCTGTTTTCCTGCATGGGAACAGTCTCATACTCCCCTCCCTTTGGGAACTCCAAAAAGGAGTTCTAGGACTGAAGTGAGGATCTAGAAGTGGGGAAGAGACCCAAGGCGACACCAGTGATGTGCTCTACACGTGTGGCCAGCATCTCCTTTGTCCCGAAGGTAAAATAATAAGGCAGTTTCAGAAACTCTCATTTACCTCCCCTTTCCCTGTCTGGGCTGTCCTCACTGACCTGAGCTCCCAATTCTCCTCCTCCAGCAGGTGATATCACAAGGACTCCCTAAACTCACCGAGTGTTGAAGATTCATGCACAATGTCTGGGAGACTCTGACACCCACCCACATCCTTACTTAGAGTATTCTAGAGTGACTTCTGAAGGGACTGGCCAGGTAAGAAGTGGGTTGGTTTCCTAAACACACAAAGTATCTTGTGGTACACACTGCCTGACTGGGGATGCAAACTCACTAGCTGAGTGAGATTTAGACCACCTGCTCACATTATCTTTTCAGGCACCCTGTGGGCAAGAAGCCATGCCTAAGTCTTCCTATTTTGTCCCCAGGGTTGTGGAAATAATGTTAGGTCAGTTTGGCTAACTGAGGAAGCAGATGCTAACTAACCCAGGTGAAAGCTCCTGGTATGTTGACCCAGGGGTCATTTTAACATCTTTCCCTGTGTCCCTGCCCACACTGTGTTTCTCTTCCTCAAGCCCACTCGGCCCAAAGAGTAAAAATAATGTTCTTTAGTTGAGGACTGCTTCTCAAAAGAGTGTAGTATGCAGCATCACAGGTCCAGAACTTTCTGAAAAGAACTCCTCTGTCAGGGCAGGGCACAGGCCAGGCACAAGATCTCCACTCTGGGGTGCCTAGGGATGCCATCCCCCAGCCACCTGAGGCCTCCTAGGGTGCTGGGTCTGCGGAGCAGCTAGTTCTCTGGAGCCGGCCCTGCAGGAGTTAAAGCCCCAGACAGACAAAAGCGAGGCCGCTGAGGCTCCTTTTCTCGGCTGTCAGCTGCAAATAGAACCGCTGCCCTCTGGACTTTAACTCCCGACAGAAAGGGCATTTTATTACAGGCTATGACAAGTTGCAGGGAGACCGCGGAGAACTCAATAAGAAGGAGCTGGCGAGTGGAATCAAAAACCCTCGGAATGTTTGGAAGACTGAGCGAAGATGGCCCCAAATGATAGGTGTGAGCAGGACTCAGGTCGCGGCTGCGGGCTGGGCGGGGTGGGAGCAGCGCAGCGACATTGCCCGCTGCTGAGGAACAGGACACATCCCCAGCCTTTCCCAGTCCTGCAACCGATGCGCAGAGCCTGTGGCCTGTCCGGGCACCATTTCAGTAGAGGCGGTTGCAGCTGATTGCTCCAGAAAAAGTTGGCTCCCCAAATTTGCAACTTTGTGTGTTTTTCATTCGCAGGCGGGAAATGGACGCTGTGCTCTTCTGAGCTGGTTTCTTCCTGATCCTCTGCGAGAAGCTGTCTTCCTACCATCAGCCTTTTGCAAACTTCTACTAGACTTTTTTTTTTCCTCCGTTCCCCTCTTCTTACGAAGTTAGCAGAGGAGGGGAAAAAAATGATACCGAGGAAGAGACATATTTTCTGTCAGTTTTTAATTTTTATTTTTTCTGGGTTTGCTTAGTACGGTGGCTTCAGTCACGCACAGGGTCTTTCGAGGAACTGATTTCTCAGAGAGGGGAGCTCTGTACGTGCTTTTAATCACCTATCTCCAATGAAAGAAATCACAAGTGTTGCTGTCCAGACCTGAAGAACTTGCTCTGCCCTAAAGCGGTGGAATGAGAGACCCGCCACCAGAACATTAGGCACCCCATCTGGATGTGGACCTAGTAGGATTCGGGTGGCCTTGAGGATGCCAGCTCAGCTGGAGAGTGCTGCAGAAGGATCAAGGGACTTCTGAGGAACCCTGTAATACAAAAAGTGAAATACGTTTATCCCAATTCTATTCTCAGAATCCCTGCCAAGAAAGGCAAAGTTGGTAGATGTCAAAGTTATCAGTGTCCACCTCCCCCCAGCTCATTTGCACGAAGGGTGTAGCTTCCCCAAGTCCCAGATCAGAAAAAAATTTAGAGCGATTCTCAGGGCACTGTGCAAACCGTTGAAAAGAAACTGCAGCTACCCTTCCCCTTCCTTTTCAAAAATCTATGCAAGTAAAAAGTGAGCAATCTTATCTAATTCCACAATCGAGGCAGAGAGAGTAGATGCATCGGAAATTCATAGCTTATGAGCGCAAAATTTCCCGATTCTTGTAAAAACAGGAATCTTGGTAAAAAACAAAAAACAAAACAAAAAAACAAAACAAAAACAAAAGGTAGCTGAAGTTTTTGGTTCTTGTTTAGTTGGAGAAATTTGGGTCCTTGTTTCGTCAGAAAAAGGATCCAAAGTGTTTAAAAGCTTGTGGTTTCAAAGAAACCAGATCTTGGACACATTTTGCGTAGTTTCATCCCCCTGTGTAACAAAACAGTGCCTTCTAATTTTGTTTTCTCAACCCCACCCAACTTTTATGTTTTTTTCTTTTCATAACTTAGCTTTTTTCCCCCTTCTGTCGAAGTGTTTCTGATCTTGATTAAATTTTAATTACCCATTCTCTGCCTGAAACTCGATTGCATTCCCCTAACCACTTCCATCAGAATACAAACAGATCCATACTTCCAGTGTCTGACCACGGCAAAGAAAGTTCACGTGGTTAGAACTGAGTCTAAAGCAAATGCCCTGTGTACTGAATAACAGCTGCAAAAAAATAGATATTAAAATTAAATAGCCACAAAACTAAGAGGATGGGGAAAACACACCACAAAACAGGATTTTTTAAACTAACAAAGAAGTTGTAAGATGAATGTAATGGGTGCTGTTTCTTCTTCTGGCGTGACATATGACTAGCAATAGCTGGACCATGAAGAGAAAACTCTATTTCTCTTCTCCTATGTTATTTTGCCAGAAATCTTTCAGAACTAAACGAATACAAAGTTCTTCAAAAGGCTATCTGCTAACTACTGCCAGGTAAAGAGTTCTAAAAGGGTGTGGCTCTTCTCACTACATATGCAACACATGAAATAATTCTAGAACCCTTGTCAAAGAAGTTTCCTTCAATATTTTGGTTTGGAAATGGCTGGGAGAGGGACACTGTAAACGAAATTATTTCCTTGGTATGGTCTGTGCAAATGTGTGTCCTTATATATCTGAGAGGATAATGGGGCTGGAGAGCAAAGCGAGCCAGGCTGGGGGTTATACTCCCTGACCCTTGGAGCATCTGGGAAAAGTAAAGGCGCAACTCAATCTTCTTATTTCTTTTCTTGTCTCCTTCTATATGAAATCTTGTTTCAATTTATATTCCAGAATAAAACTCCGGTGTGCTTTAAATTTCCTTGATTTTTTTCATCATCTCCTCTCCGTCTATGCACCACTTCATTCTCTCTTTCCTGGAAAGGGCAAATTGTTGGAAGAAAAAGGTATACATCTCAAATTTCCACCAGATCTTTCTGGCAAGTAAAGAAATGGGGGTATGCCCCTGGGGGTGGACACTCTCACCATGAAGACAGGTCACTTACAGAGAGTCAAAGTAGGAACCATCTTTGTAAGTGAATTGGTTCTGGCTAAGGTGGTCTTACTATGGGAAGAATTTGAGCAGAAATAGAGAAATAGTCATTGGGAATTGTACATTGGAAGCAGGGAGTGGGGTAAATTTGCAAATTTGAATCCATGAGAATGGGAAAAGTCTCAGGAAACCCCTCCGCCTTCACCTTTGCAAAGTTTTCAAGCATCTTGCTGAAGTCCTGAAGCATGTCTAGCAAGGGGACACTGGTCACTGGAGGAAAGCTGTGGGATAGCTCACCTTCTTTGGTAAAAGAGTTGGAGGGCATTTGTTTCTGCATTTTCCCTCCCTTCTGAGTCTCTGGAATAACAAACTCAAGTGGCTGCCCTCACCCTTGACTATCTTCCTTAGCAAACTTGACATTGTGGAAGAAACACGACATGTGAATTATTAAAGAGGAGCAGGTTGACTTTTCACCCTGGCTACATTGCTCAGGCTGCATTACCTGCGCACTTATCTGGGAATGCGGTACAAGAATTACAGGGTATGTGAGCCACAATGAGGAGAGGAGAAAGCAGAGGGAAGAGGCTGTAAAGATACCAGGGAAAGCAGGGTGTATATCCTACCTTTTCTGACACTCAAATGAAAGAGTAATATGTTTCAGAAAACTAACTGCTCCTTTAAGAAGGGGGGGTGAGTCAGTTTCTATGTCCAAGGAGAAAGAGATGAATTGAAAGTTCAGCCTCTTCAGACAGAGTTTCTCAGGATTTAAAAATTCCATTTACTTAAACAAATTCTTAGCTTTATGAACAAAAGCATATCGAGGGCTCTTCTTATCTTTTTTTCTTCTCATTTCAGTACAACTTCTACTTTCATTCAGTTACAAGCACTTCTCAAATGTTGAGAACCACTGTGTGCTAGAAAGGACATAGACATTTTCTAAGTCAGATGTTTGCAAAACTGAAGACGAATCCAGAAGATATTTAATTTGCACAACTGATAAAATGATAAAAAGCAGCAGAGATCATTCAGGGTTTCAGGCAAAAGTGTGTGTGTGTGTGTGTGTGTGTGTGTGTGTTATACTAATTAAACAACCATTATCCTCTGGTGGTGTCTTTCTGGGCAGCTGTTGATGGAATACAATAGGAAAGGGAGCATCAAGTATCTAAGATGTTATTTCAAAATTAAGAAGAAAGGGATCTACAGTAAGCCAATACTAAGAACTACTAATAACTATTGCCATTACTGTTTAGTCCTTTGGGTACCAATCTGTATATCCTGTTGCCAAGGCAAAGGTAATAATTGAATCTATCCTGAATCTGAGTGATGGAGTAGTCAGAAATGACTCCATCTGACAGGAGAGCCAGGAGGCAAGTGATGGATACTATTGTCCAGCCGTGACCCTCCATTAACACTACCTATCAGCATCTGGATCCTGTCACTGGTTCTCTTCTTAGAGCCAAGAGAGCTGCCTGGCAAAGTCCAAGCACTTCCAGGGTTTCTAGGCAGCATTGAACCCCTCTCACCAGCTGAGTAGTTGAAGAGACTAACCTAAATCCTCCATCTCCATCTGCCTTATTGCCCCTCTCCAGACCCATTGTTTGGCAGGTGCTGGCCATTTACTCCTTATCTTGCCTGTTTATGAGGGATTTTTAAAATTAATAACAAAGGGAGAAGTGGTATTAATATTAATTAACACCATAAAAATGAAACAGTTTTGGGATTTCACCCAGTGAATCCTCTCACTCTCTAATTGGAGCTTTGGAGAAAGGGGAGGAGGAGGAGAGGGGAAGGGGAGGGAGGGAAAATGTGTGTGTGTGGGAGATACAGATGACCTACTGGGTGACAGGCACAGGTTGGAAGGGTGACATTTTATTGTAAGCCTCCCAATGAAAGGAAGAAAAGGAAGGGACCAGTCAATTTAATGCAGGGACCAAGAGTGCAAGAGTGTTGCTAAGAGACAGAGATGCTGGTGAAGTTCTATCACAAGCCCTACTCTGACCTTATGCAAATAGAGGCGGCCAACTCTTTGTGGAACGGCTGAAAATTCCACCCCCTGTGTCACCAATACCTGGCATCGAGCCTTTCATTCAAATGCTCTCTGAAAACACACACAGAGGATGTGACAAAGTGTGACACATTCAGGGGGCTTTAACACACACACACACACCTCACAACAGTATGGGGGATAGTAATAGCAGCACTGCTTTTTAAATGGGGTGGTGGTGGTGGTGTCTATAGCAGATCATCCTGAGGATTTGTCATCCTTCTTTACCTTCTGTCACCTGAAGATCCAGAAATTGCCCTCTCCTTACAGAAATAGAAGCCTATTAAGATACTGCAGCACTGCTCAAAATACTGTCATTAATTCACGAGTGGAGGGGCATGAGGAGGGATGGTGTGAGGGTGGGTGGATGGGATGGGGAAGCTTGGTGCAAACTAGAGCAAACACAGTTTATCCCACTCTCCCTCCCCAACCCCCCCCAAAAAAAAGAAGAAGAAAAGAAACTTCCTTTCTGTAGGATAAGATGATGGTTTAAAAGGAAGAAACTTGGGGGGGGGATGAGTCTTTTAGGAAGTTGAATATTCTTAAGAGTTCACGAGGGAAGGCTGACAGGATACATCCCAGTGAGCTGGTGACACCTGGACCAACTGCAGAAAGGTCTTGGTCGTCTTGACAAAGGGGGGTGCCTTTGTTCAGAGCCCTCAAGCAGAGGAGTCTGCCTTGCCTCCTGGTCCTTCCTGGGTGCGGAAGGTGAGCTATGAGTTGGAACTGGATGCTGCAGCAGACCTGACCCTTAGGCTCTGTGGAACAGCCCCTGAGAGGCAGAAGAGCGAATCCTAACCCGCAGGCTCTGAATCCCCGCCTCCCTTTCTTTCTTGGGCAGTCTCATTTCCATCGTGTCTCTGCTTCTTTTCACCCCAAGTTAACTATTGGCTCTCCTCCTGGTAGGAGTATGGCCATTCACCAGCCCAAACGCAGCTCATAAGGTACCCCCCCCCAACCAGGGTATCAATCCGGAAACGTTGAGCACCACACAGAGAAATAGATTATTTCCATGGTTCTTAGCGAAGATTGCTCCCTTGGAGCCACAGGTAGGATGGCAGTTTTGGGTCCTTGTGGACCTTGGGGACTGTCAGGAAGGGGACAGGATTTGAGAAAGGCAGGGAGAGCTGCAGCCACACACCTGCCCTTGCGTAGCCCCTGGGGCTACTAAAGAGGATGGCAGCTAGAGAGGGAGCCAACCTGGAGAGCTTCTGGCTCGTCCCTCTCACACCTCACAGAAACCAGAACAGAATCGTTTTCTCTAAGTGAGGGCAAAGCCTAGCACACACAACTTGGAAAACTCAATTTAGTCAGCCTGTCCCCCCCCACTTCCTCCCTTTCTTTCGATTTCAATATTGATAACAAGCCCACTGCTTCGCATCTTTATGATAATAGTTGCAAATGAGTACGACCGCCCCCCCTCGCCTTGGCAAGCGCTCAGTGGCAAGTAACTTCTCAGGGTAACTTCTCCCTGAGATTCCCCCCTCCCCTTTTAATGGTGGAACTTTTCATAATGTGCACAATACTATTAAACTTTCATATTAGCACTGTGTATGGTGAACTTTGTAATGGGAAATTCAATAGCTGCTGTAAATATTAATGGAATATGAAATGAAGCCACAGCCTTGACCAGCCCTGACAGTAAAACCGAGTGAGCATGTGGCAGCCCCGGGGCGAGAGAGGCCTTCCCTCTTGTCACTCTCGCTTTATTACATTAGCGCTGGTCTCCCCACGCCGGAGTGGGCTCAGAAGCCGAGGCACAGGGTCACCCATGACAAATGTCCCGGTGTCTCGCCAACAGGCCCCGCCTGGCCCTGCCACTCCATCTGCCCAACAGCCCCCCAGAGAGTGCTTGCGGGTGTCAGTTTCGGGCACAGAGCTCTCAAGAGGCGCCAGCTTTCCAAAAAGCGTGCAGTGGTTCCAGTGTCTCCTCAAGTCACCGGCTCCCCAGACCTGGGGGAGGAGAGAACTCAAAATGCGAGTGTTAACGAACCCCAAGTGGCTTTCTGGGGTTGGAAGAGGTACTGGGAAAAACCAGACTCTCACTTTCATCTAAACCCCTATACCCCTCCCCCAAACCCCAGCCCAGCCCCAGTCCTAGCTTGCAGGACCTGTCTCAGAATTGCCTTGAGTTCTTTTTGGTGACAGCTGCCTTCACCTCTAGATCCCGGAGCAGTGCCGGGGTCGTAAACTGACCCATAGGCTCCCATTCCCTCTGCCCCCAGCCTAAACCACCCGGACAGTCTATTTGCAGCGCTGTGTGAACTATCAGAGTTTAGGCCTTGGAGCCGCCAGCTCAACCTTTTTTGCACTCGGGAATACTCCAGAAACCGCTAGGGAGGGTCTGTGTGTGTAGACTGAGGGAGTGGCAGCACTTCTTACAGGCAGAGGAGCAGACCCAACCTTTTGGGAGCCGGGGTCGCCATCAGGAAGGACTACAGACAGACAAACGTGGCCATCAACACCTTGTACCGCGAGTTTTTTCTACAGGCTGGGAACGACCCGTTTTGAGTGGCAGGCGATGCGTCTGCTTGCTTCCTGCGTTTATGTTGCACCGACAGCACTTAGGAGACCTTAATTTTTAGATGGGACATTAATCTTCACTTGTTAGGAGATCGGTTGTCAGCACTGAACTAGAGCCTTCCCGCTTCTGACAGCCCATAGTGTCCCGAACCCCGAGCTCTACCTGGAGTGCGGGGACGTGCAGGGCAGCATGCAACACCTGGGAACAAAGCTGGACAAGGCGGGCCCTGCAGGAGATGCCTGGCTGGAAAGGAAGGT